CTGCGTGTGAGGAAGAGAACCGGTGATCTGGGGCGGGATATGGAAGGGGCTGCTGCAGATATCGAGGCGGCCAATGCGGCCAATCCAGAGAGGGAGTGTCGTTTCAACTTCCCCCGTGCTCTGCGGGAGCTGGCCACAGTCATCAGGAAAGAAGGCAAGTCATACTACGTCTTTGAGGCGGCCCGGAATGACAACCTCATGAACTACTTCAATCCCGCCATTGTCCTAGGCTGGCTTGCCAATATCGATATATCTCCGTGCACTAGCTTACAGGCGGTTATTACGTACGCGGCGAAGTATTGCAGCAAATCTGAGAAGAAGACTGAGCCTTACTGTATGCTCGCAGACCAAGTTTTGCCGCACACGGCACACCTTCAGCCCCTGTTATCCTTCTCCTCTCGCCTTATGAATAAGCTGATTGCCGAGAGAGATTACTCGGCGCAAGAGATTTCCCATCTGCTGCTCAACGTTTCTCTGCAAGAAGGCACGCGGATGGTGGTCTCTGTCGACTGCCATCCGTTCAGGAGATTTCCCATCTTCTGCTCAACATTCCTCTGCAAGAAGGCACGCGGATGGTGGTCTCCGTCGACTGCCGTCCGTTGGAGCAACATGTGCGTTCTTATCGCGTCGACGAAGACGTCAATGAGACCATTGGCAGCTACTGGAAATATCTTGAGAGAAGTGACCAACATGAGGACGTGACCTATCTCGAGTACCTGCAACTATACAATCTCAAGACGTGGAGGAGACTTGCTGCTAACGCGAAGAAGAGGGTCCTGTCTTACTTCCCTCGATACAGATCCATTGAGGCCTCTCCCCAGTTTAATGACTTCTGCCGTGTTAAGTTGATGATGGCTCATCCGCACCGAAGGAGTTGTACGCAGTGGGCGGTCAACGGTTCGATTCCTTCGCGGCTGCGTACAAGATTTGCAGAGAGCACCATGACACCCATGCTGACGACCATTACGGGAAGCCAGAAACAAATGAACTGAGGGCAGAGGACGACGAATTTGAGTTTGAGGTCCATGAAGAGCCCACTGTGGAGGAGGACTGGCATGAACTCGCCCGCATGCTTCCCGACCGCCCGCTGGAGGAAGAGGATATCGACATCCTCGGCCGCCGAGACATCGACATCAATTATGATTGGACCCCTCACGTTGGACGGTATACTGATGATGGTATTCTCAACGGCGACTACTGGAACAACGCAAGACGGGAAACCGCCTTGACCTTGACGTGGATCATCAGCCCTTGGAAGCTCGTGATTCCCTAAATCGAGACCAGCGCCTAGTGTACGATACGGTGATGGACCACTTTCTGACCCAGGAACCTTCTCAGTTGTTGCTCCATGTAGATGGTGGAGGTGGCACCGGGAAGTCTTACCTCATTAACCTGCTCTCCGTGCATCTCCAAGCCGCTACCGCCGAGAGAGGGACACCTGTTTAGCGTGCCGCGCCCACTGGCG